AGAGGGATCAGGACAGGCTGGATCCATGGGCTGGGGCTGTGCAGAGGGATCAGGACAGGCTGGATCCATGGGTTGGGGCTGTGCAGAGGGACCTGGACAGGCTGGATCCATGAGAACTGGGAATGTTCAGCCTGGAGAAGAGGAGGCTGAGGGGAAAACCTTCTTGCTCTCTGCAACTGCCTGAAAGGAGCCTGAAGCAGTGGGGGGTTGGTCTCTTCTGCCAAGGAACAAGTGATAGAACAAGAGGAAACAGCCTCAAGTTGCACCAGGGGAGGTTTAGGTGGGATCTTGGGAACATTTCCTTCCTGGCAAGGGCTGTCAGACCCTGGCCCAGGCTGCCCAGGGCAGGGGGGGAGTCCCCATTCCTGGGGGCGTTTCAAAGCCCTGTAGATATGGTGCTGAGGGGCATGGGTGAGTGGTGGCCTGGGCAGTGCTGGCTTTATGGTTGGACTCTGTGACCTGAAAGCTCTTTCCCAACCACCATTCCATGATGTTTCCCTTGAGCTTGGTGCAGAACCTCAAGACCAAGAGAGGGAATCTCATCCGGGTGGAGAGCAGGGCACAGGGGGTGCTCAGAAACCGGTATCCCCCCCAAAAAACGGGTGCTCCTGAGGGGTGTGTGCTGGCTGCCCTGCCCCAGGCTGCTGTCTGAGTGTCTGTCTGTGTGTCTGCCCAGTGCTCAGCCAGCTGTGGGGAAGGTGTCCAGCAGAGGCAGGTGGTCTGCAAGGGCAGCGAGGGCGGCGGGCGCTGCCAGGGCCAGAAGCCTGAGGCTGTGAGGGGCTGCCATGTGGTCATCTGCCCAGGTGAGAGCAGGAGGAGGTGGGTTGGACACCCAAGAGGGAAGGGATGTCATCCAGAGGGACCTTGAGAGGCTGGAGAGGCGGGGCAGTGCCAACCTCAGGAAGTTCAACCAGTGCGGGGTCCTGCACCAGGGTTGGCACAACCCCAGGGACACATCCAGGCTGGGGGGGAATGGCAGGAGAGCAGGAGAAGGACTTGGGGGTGGTAGTGGATGAGAAGCTCAACTTGAGCCACCAGTGTGTGATGAAGCCCAGAGAAGCAACCATATCCGGGGCTGCATCACAAGAAGTGTGGCCAGCAGGGCCAGGGAGGGGATCCTGCCCCTCTGCTCTGCTCTGCTCAGACCCCACCTGGAGTGTTGTGTCCAGTTCTGGTGCCCTCAGCACAGGAAAGATACAGATCTGTTGTCCAGAGGAGGCCACCAAGATGATCCTTGGGCTGGAGCAGCTCTGCCCTGGAGACAGAGTTGGGATGTTCAGCCTGGAGAAGAGAAGGGTCCAGGGAGACCTTAGAGCAGCTTCCAGTGCCTGAAGGGGCTCCAGGAAAGCTGGGGAGGGGCTTGGGACAAGGGCAGGGAGGGAGAGGACAAGGGGTGATGGTTTTAAACTGAGAGAGAGGAGATTTAGGTGAGATATTAGGAAGAAATTCTTCACTCTCAGGGTGGTGAGGAACTGGGATGGGTTGCCCAGGGAGGTTGTTGATGGCCCATCCCTGGAGGTTTCTCAGGGCAAGTTGGATGAGGTTTTGTGCAGCCTGGTCTGGTGGTTCCCTGCTCATGGCAGGGGGGTTGGAGCTGTATGGTCTTTGAGCTCCCTTCCAACCTTAGTGATTCTATGAGGTGGTGGTGGTATCATTCAGGGTTGGGGTCACACCAGAGGGTACCAACCCTCTTGCAGCCCATCCCAGCTTCATGGGGGGATGTCCCCAAAGCAGGTGGCCCGGGAAGGTCGTCACTGGTGCTGCAGGTGGAGAAAGGGCTAAAGGATCCCCAGAAATGCTCCCCCTCTCTTGACATTTGCTGGAGGTGGTTTGGGGGCTTTCTGGCAGTCTGAGGATGTGGTGAGCTTGAGGGGACAGTGGTGATGGGCACCCTGGCCATCTCCAACCCCACCTCAGGGGTGTTTTGGGTGGCTCCCAGTGCTGGGTCATCCAGGCACTCCCCATTCTGAAGGTGATCCCTTCAAGCAGAAAAACTCCAACCCCCTCACCCCCCCCCAAAAAAAGACACCCACCCTCCTGAGCCCCCATGAGCCCCAAGCCCCCATGACATCCTGATGTCATGTCTCCACAGAGAAGCTCTCTGGCATCACCACCACCACGGCTGACCAGGGCACACCCCAGGGGCAGCGGGTGCCCCAGGATGGACCCAAAAACCCTGTCAGCAAGATCTCCTCCAGTAAGTGTCCCTGCTGGGGTAAGGGCAGGGAATAACCCTCCCAAGGGCTCCTGCAACTCCTGGTGGGAGCTGTGGGGGGGTCAGAGTGGGGCTGCACACCCAGCAGGGCTTCTGGGGAGGTGGCTTCTGCCTTTCACCCCTCCTTCCAAGCCAAGGGTTGCTTAGACTTCTTCATAGCTGGACCAAGACTCATCACGATCAGCCTGGAGATGCTGGGTTGGAGCATCCCTTCCTTTTGGGTTTCTCCTCCAGTTCCTAGAAACCTCCAGGGCTTTGGCTTCACTTCCCAACTCCATTCCCATCCAAGTGTAGCCAAAAATCCCTGCCCTGGGATGGAGAGAAATAGCAACACCCTACGAGGGAACCACCCCATGACCCTTGGGGACCCCTGGAAAGAGGGTTGCAAGGGGTGGGAGCCTGATGGACCTTTGCCTGACTCTTGCTCTGTCCCTCTCCAGGAGAGCCTTGCCTTGGGGACAAGTCCATCTTCTGCCAGATGGAGGTCCTGGCCCGTTACTGCTCCATCCCTGGCTACAACAAGCTCTGCTGTGAATCCTGTGGCAGGAAAACCTCCCCCAGTGCTGCTCCCAGCTCCTCTCCATCACTTCCCTCACATCCCACCACCCCTACCCGGGCAGGGACACCCCCTGGAGACCCCACAGCAGCTTCTTCAGCTGAACCAACCCCCAAGGGAGGGCTTCCAGAGGCTGGAGCTTCCCCAGAGGGGCTACCAGCCCCTAGTGAGGTGGGCAGGGAGGTGGCAGCCAGGTAACCCCCTGGGGGGACCCCCTCCCCCCAAGACCTCTCCCCCCTTTCCCTCTCCCTCCTTCCCCTCTTTTTCCTCTTCCCACTTCCAGCAAATGGTTTTCAGATGATGGTGCTGGCCAGGTTTGGAAATGACCTGGCCCCCCCAGAAATTCCTGGGGCAAAAAACCCACTTGGTTTGCTTTTATTTCTCAGCCCTCCCCCCCAAAAAACCCTCTCCCACCCTCCCTCCCAACCCTGCTGTGGTTGGTTGGGTCACCACCCCAGCAAGAAAAGAGGTGAAAAGGAGCCCCCCCAAAAAGCAGCAGCTTGGTTGTGGGGAACCCTGCAGTAGAGCTGCTGCCTTCCTAGGTGCTAAAAAGATTTTTTTTGGGGGGAGAGAGGTCGAGGAGGGAGTTAATGTTGCTTTTTCCCCTCTCCCTGCCCCAAGCAGCAAGACAAGGAAGGTCCTGGCTCTGTGGTTCAGAGGTTGGGTTTAGGAATGGGAGGATGTTGGGGAGCCCCAGGGCAAGTTAGAGGTGGCCAAAGGTGGAGGGGGGAAGGTTGGGGATGGTGGGAAATGGGCCCAAAAAAATGCTGCTCTGGGTTTGGAGGGTTTTGGGAAGTGTGTGTTGGGGTGGGGAGGAGAGATGGGGCAGGAAAACTGTGGAGCAGCTGGTGTCTGGGATTGCAGGGTCAGCAGGAGCTGGTCCAGGCAACTCTCAGGTGGACAGTGAGAAGGTCAAAGCCCCAAAAGGATGGTTGAAAAAGATGCCTGTCACCTGGAGGTGACTTCTTGGCCAGCCTTGAGCTGATCCCCATGCCCAGCACCCCCAGGACCCACCACCAGCCTGATCCCTGCAGGGCTTGGGGGGCATCAGCACTTTTCCCTGGGGAAACTGGGCTTGACTGGGAAGCCAGGAATGGATTTGAGGGGTAGGGACCAAGGAGAGGAGAGAGGGATGATGTATCTGTTTGGGAGGGAGTGGCAGGGAGGGGGG